TCGTGGTGTCGGTTGCTTGCGTCAAACTGTTACGAGGTCAACTCAGTTTGCCATACTCCTTGAGCTGGATCTACTGGCCCGAAGAAGGTACTTACTGTGGATATAGATTCAGGTGCGCTCGGTTGACCTGGTTGAATCTCCACAGGAGATACTTGGCAGCCCGGTTCACATCATTACCGCCAGAGTAATCGGGAAAATAGTTACTCAGGGGGGAGCGGGGCAATTTCTGTCGAAAGAGATCCACTTTGTTGAGGAAAAGGATAATACTTGTTCGCATGAACCATCGTGAATTAACGACGGAGTCGAAAAGAACCAAGCTTTCCATCATTCGATTCTTTGGAGGTGGTCAACGAAGAAAGCCAAGTTCAGTAAACACAGAGATGACTTACTTGATTGCTCTCTTCTAGCAGTACTTGATCGTACTCACTCAATGCCACACAGAAAATGATCGATGTGACGTTCTCGAAACAATGGATCCATTTCTTTCGCTCGCTGCGCTGACCACCGACATCGAACATGCTACGGACTCGTTAGCAGCCTAGACTAGGGACAAGACAATATATTGGAAAGCAGTCCCGTACTGTATGCTGAGTTGGCCCATTGTAAATCTTGTCTCATAGATACCTGTCGTCTTTGTTCGAGCACGGAGCACGTCCGCCACGTTCGGAATATAATCAGGAGCCGCTATGCGCTTCGCTTCCTCAAAGAAACTAATGGCAGATTTGGTCAATACGGATACATCTAAAAAGCAAGAAGGAAAAGGCGAAGAATGAACTTACTACGGCGCAGAATCCATCAGGTAAAACTCATTCTGATGCTCTAACGCAGTGGATGTGCATGGATCATTCCAGAGATAGGTGACGGCATCTCCAATTCGAGGATCGAGAGGCGTGTTTGGATCAGGGTCGATATTGTATTCAGAAAGGAACTCGATGAATTCGCGGACTTTGGGACTCGTTGGTTGGAGGTTGAATTGGTGGTAAGCTCCGATAAGAGCTTTGGTGCAATCTAGGAGATTTTTGTAGATCGTTAAACGATATAACGCAAGTTCCTCCACCGTGTAGCCGTTCTGATGAATGATTTTCATTTGCTTGACAATCGTAGATTTCCCGCTCTCTCCGGACCCTGTCACAAATCAAAAGAAGGCTCGCGTTAGCCCACAGCACAATCACTATTATCATACTCAGGGAAATCCAGAACTCACCCAGCAGAAGTATCTTGCATTCTCTCCGTAGTCGCCTGGAATCCTCCTCTAACCGGCGATCAATGGCCTGGCTTCGCTTCTTTTGTTCCGCATCCCCTGCTGACTCTGTGCTGAAACATGACCCCATTTTCGGCCAGGTTCTGCGTTATGTATAGAATAGCGGAAAGACCTAAAGCATTAGCTGCCAGCACAAGTAAGCGGCATCAATTAATGAGACACTGCACCCGAGACACTCGGGGTAGGACTCATGAACCAGGCAGCCTCTTGCGCGCAACCCCGATGGCTTGAGAAACCGACTTTTTGACCTCTAGGTATATATGCAATCGGGATTAACGGGGAGGTAACGTTCAATGATGGTTGCGACCGACGGGAGAAGGATGAATAACAAGCCGGACGCGGTATAGTGAGTTGCAGGGCAACGGCGAGCAGTTCCGGTCTTCGTTAAAGGCGCAAGAAGCGAGTACAGAGTAAAGACCGTCAGGCTCTGGGACGGCAGTGATGACTCGTGACGCAGGTAATGAGACTAGGGGAAATGTTGCTTCGGTCGGTGAGGAAAGAGCCCAAGCTCCTATTGCTTTTTCTCCGCGAGTAGACTGGTTGGGATGAGGGGTGACAGGACTCGATTGCGGAGCAGACAGGTGTGTGAGAGTGACGAACCGACGCTAAAAAGGGTAGTCAAGGTCGATCGGGAAGAGTGGATGGAGAGCGGATCTCAAAGTGAGATCATGTAAGCAATTAGGATCGGTCGAAGGCGAAGTACTAAGAGTGATGGTAATTGGTAGGTACAAGGTATTACACCTGGGTAGCTGCAATAATGGCAGATGTCTTAACCTGATAGACAACTAAGATCTTATTTTAAGCGTAAGTCTGCAGATGCTTTGGAGAATCAGTATCCAGGTATAGTGACCCAGTTGTGGATATTCCAAATCGTCATATAGACAGGTTGAAGTGGAGATGGCACAGAGAGGAGAGCCTGAGAAGGAGTTGAGTGGGTAATATTGGTAAAAACGTGGATGGGCGAAGCTTACAGAGTACTAGTAGGTAAATAATATGTCTACTGCGCCAGGTAAAAGTCTGACAGTCACCGAAGGTAGGAAAGTGAAAGAGATGCTTGAATTCCGGCAGTCCTGCTGTCCACTGGTTTAGAGTGAGGCAGGAAAAGGGTACCTACCTAGATTTCTTAGCGTCCAATGTGACTTTACAGCATCAGGCTTTGCTAGTTTCAACATAGATGCGCACTCCGTACAGAGTAGAGACTACCTGACCTACCTTACTCTTTAATGACGAAGGCGTCGAAAACGCAGGTATTACGGGCTGGTCTGGCTGTCATGGCGGACCATTGGAAGCTGATCAGTCCTTATTTCTAAAGGCATAATCAGCCCTGCCTTTCAAAGGATCTAGTCTCTTTCACGAAGCAGTGTTTTAAGGGGGTCAAGCTTAATGTTCAACCTTTTTTGATTTATTGGAGTACTTCTCTGCTGCTTTTTAATAGCTACCTACCTAAGTACTCTATGTATTACTGCGTTGGTAGGTGATGACTTGGTGTACGTTACCGTACGTCCCGATACAGCCACCAACTCTCGTTGTAGATGATCACCTTCCCAAGGCATAATACGGATTGCTATTCCAGGGCGCATCGAAATAATGCTGAGGCTATGTTTCAATCATATCCGATTGGTGAGATAAAGCTCTGCCTTCTACATATATCTGGCAGAGTGCCCTTTGAGGGTTTCACAAGCTATGCCATGCATTTTCCACTTAGCTTCTTGAGGTCGAGTATGCAAATGGTGAAGACTTTAATATTGATGACAGACAGGAACTTTAAATTTGAAGGTGCTTGCAGCGGCCAGAGTGATATGAATGAGACCGTTGACCCCCCATTTTGATGCAGCTCTATTATTATGTTGGAGTATCCGTACCCCGTACCCAATAGCATCTGCTCTGTACGGAGCCGATTGCAATGTAGTGGTACACACCATAATTAAACAAATGAGGGACACTGTCACTTCGAACCTTCACAGCAACTAGATCAGTCCTCGTGATTGCTGAAGCAAATGCTGAGCCACGGGAACTACCTTATCAAGGGGCCAGGAGAGATTCAAAAAATAGTTTGCACATCTTCAAAAAGGGGTACAGGCCAGATCCATATTTGGAGTCTGTGCTTGATTATTATTGCGATCCTCATCATGTAAATTGTTGAGGATATATTTTTCTTTGTCTGTACCTGCCAACCTATACTTAAGCGCGCTTGCCTCTACCGTATCTAGGTATAAAAGACATCTACCTAGTATCGATCTTGTAACGCCTTGACCGAGTGAAAACCCGGAATGATCCTGATGAGGGGCTAACTCAGGAGAGTAGGTACCAGATAGAACAGGAGCATAACTTGTGAAGCTAACGTAGGATCGAGGCAGGAAGGTTCCTACGTACTTCATAATGAGTGTGATATAATCTAAATATGCCTAAGTTGAGCGCATGTCGATACTGCACTTGATCAGTTGATAAGAACTCTTATACAAGTTCTTTCAATTGTGCGCTATGCTCTTTCATGATGGTGTGGTACAGCACAGTCGATTTCTCCCGGTTGATGGAGCTGGTCAGAACCGGATCAGCCCCACTATGATGACATCTATCACAAAGCAAGATGCTGGATCTAGGTAGGCTAAAGCCTCATCTCGAATCCCAGTTGGTGACATGCTCAGAGGAAAGAGTGTTATCATCGATGATCATTTGGTGAGGATTATGGATTATACACTAGTTGAAGATTACCCTCATTGCCAACATGAAGAGGACAAAAAGACTTCTGTAAACCCGAATGTGTGATCGAATTTGGAGAGGCACTGCCTTTCTCTATTGTGCTCGTTGTCTGTCTACTCTCGGATTGTTGTTTCTGACAGCTACTAGAATTATGCTCCGGATGACAACATCGGGAATTCGTAATAAGCTGCCTGGCTGCTTGATGGACGGCATGCAACTATATCTACAGGATGCCACCTCAGAGACACGCTTGTAGAGAGGTATAGTGCTAAATTGACTGGCATCATTTATTCACAGATGACATACTGGCTATCAGCAATGCAAACCTGGAATAGGATGATATGATATTGAGGGGTTTGATAGGGACCTGTTTAGAAAGCTTGCTCTTCGGATACTAGATGTGATCCCTGCTGATAGCACGCGTTGATGACCGCAGATGGCTGTACAGAGTGAGAGGAAGATAAAAACATAGGCCCCTCTGTTCCGCCGTGGGGATCTATTTTCCAGGCGATCTTTATGGCATTCTTGCTATTTATGCAAGCGTTATAACGATGATGATACCCTGATGGTGTTGTTTTTCCTTGAATTGGGAAAAGTCTTCCAACCAATTGGCCGGACCTAATAATCGTTGTGGTCTAGACAGGTAGGTACTATACCCACCAGGGCCGAAAACACACCGGCCCTTTTTTCGACTGCGCTCACTTTTCGTCGCGGACGTCATCGTCCCTGTTTTTGATTTTCCTGGGAATCGAACTGAGCGGACTAGGAGGCCTCGCTTCCCCACACCTGCTAGGCGCCACTTGCTGGCTTTTGCCCGCCCTCACTCCCCTCTCTTCCTCTCTGAGCGCGACTACGTAGTTACTTCAACTGCATCTGTTTTTTTTTTTTTCCTCCTTCATAGGTTTTTGACACCCTCATCTGTTGGCTCTATACATTCGTTAAACTTCCGCTGTTTTGAGATCCTTGAGCCAAAGAATCGGAGACACTGTTAGAGCTGCCCTGCATTCTCAGACGTACTCCGTCCATCCCGTAATCCAAAATGGCCGAGTTCGTGCGTGCCCAAATTTTCGGCACCACCTTCGAGATTACCAGCAGGTACAGTGCACGCGATCAAGAAACGTCGAGATATCAATTGTGTTAACAAGAGTGCAGGTATACGGATCTGCAACCGGTGGGAATGGGCGCCTTTGGACTTGTCTGGTATGGTTGGCAGAACACGGCATACCCCTTCTTTCATCTACGACAAATGCCGTCAGATCTTCGGCCTGTTCGAATGGGCTAATAACTATCGCGCGAAAATAGCTCCGCAAGAGATCAATTGACAGGCCAACCCGTGGCTGTAAAGAAGATCATGAAGCCTTTCAGCACTCCTGTTTTGTCGAAGAGAACATACCGCGAGCTGAAACTGTTGAAGCACTTACGGCATGAGAACGTTTGTGGCTACCCGACTGCAAACATCCCATCATATTTGTGTTCTGATTCCCTTGGTAGATCATTAGCTTGAGCGATATCTTCATCTCCCCTCTTGAGGACATGTATGCGGTACCCCCTCGAAGCCTAAGGCTTGTTGCTGTGTTCTAACAGATGAACAGTTACTTTGTCACAGAGCTCCTTGGGACCGACCTCCACAGACTTTTGACTTCGAGACCATTGGAGAAACAGTTCATTCAATATTTCCTTTATCAGATTTTGGTGTGCCTCGACTTTCCCCCGTTCAGACTATACTTGGAACGCTAACCACTTATTCTGTAGCGAGGTCTGAAATACGTTCACTCAGCAGGTGTCGTCCACCGTGATCTCAAACCCAGCAATATCCTTATTAACGAAAACTGCGACCTGAAAATTTGCGATTTTGGCCTTGCTCGTATCCAAGACCCCCAGATGACCGGCTATGTTTCGACGAGATACTACCGAGCCCCTGAAATCATGCTTACATGGCAGAAATATGACGTGGAAGTCGACATCTGGAGTGCTGGCTGTATTTTCGCCGAGATGCTGGAAGGAAAACCTTTATTCCCCGGGAAGGATCATGTCAACCAGTTCTCTATCATCACAGAACTGCTCGGAACTCCGCCAGACGATGTGATTCAGACTATCTGCAGCGAGAATGTGAGTGAAAGATCGACATTCCGCCTGTTATTTATTGCGAACTTCTGCTAATGCGGGGAATTTTTATCAGACCCTGCGATTTGTCAAGTCCCTACCTAAGCGCGAACGCCAACCTCTTGCCAACAAATTCAAGAACGCTGATCCTGAGGGTACGTTTATGCACCTGGGGATATAGGAGCAAATTGGGTACTGATGCCTTTTAGCGGTCGATCTTCTGGAGCGAATGCTTGTTTTTGATCCCAAGAAGAGGATCCGCGCTGGGGAAGCACTTGCGCACGAATACCTCTCTCCCTACCACGACCCTACCGATGAGCCCGAGGCTGAGGAGAAGTTCGATTGGTCGTTCAATGACGCCGACCTTCCTGTGGACACCTGGAAGATCATGATGTATGTTGGACGCCGGTGAATATTCTGTCTCGTTGGCTGCTAACACTAGACGTGCAGGTACTCGGAGATTCTCGACTTCCACAACATCGACCAGGGTAATGACGCTGGTCAGGTGCTCATGGAAGGAGGTGTGGCTCAAGCACACCAGAACTTTGCCTAAGAGTGGTCACCATGTGCATCAAGCGCAGAATTTTGTTTAATGAGACGATTTTCTTTTGGTCTGTGTAGACGGGGAACGAGGTTACGATTTGTCCATTTGAACCTACTTCATCCTTTTCATTATAGTGTTTCTCTCCCTTCAAAGCGGGCGTATGTACAGGACCTGCTGTTCAACCTCCTAATTGTTTCGTCCTGGCGTCGTTAGAGCCGGAGGGTGTGGGAACTCAGATTGTTCATTCTTGCCTTACTCCTTTAGTGGTGTCTCCAACACAGAGCCGTCCCATTGTCTTTATATACATACACACCGTTATATTCACGAATCCCTGTTGGATGGAAATGTCTAATAACAATGTCGATGTTGATCATTGGTCTAGTTGAAGATCATGGCCGGGAGATTCCTACAGCAACTGTTAGGGCACAGGATGCAATCTGATTTCATAACTTAATTCCCGGAACAGAATGTTCCAATGCCTTAACATCGATATCATGTTTACTTTTTGTATGTAGAGAATTGAGTTCAGTAAAAATGCGCCTGCAACGAGGCATAAACTCTGACGTAGTTTGAGGAAGCGCTTTTACCCTGGAGCAACTGCTTGGATAATTGTGGCGGGGCCATGCCGAAATACACATCGTCGACTGGATGACCGCCCGCCCGCAGACTGTGATTCGTCTCCCCTGATTGCATATCTTTAGCAGTCGAGGGGCGCGTATAAATCATTCCCGTGTTGCATGTATCATTTATTACTGCGGTATTCTATCCCAGTGTGACAGACCGGTTCGTGACTTATTCGTTTCTTGCAGAGGTTCTCACGTTTTCCCAAAAGAGGATATAGCTTCAGACGTGTCAACGTCCAGATCCTCAATCAACCCCCCGGCTTTGCATGACGCTTCGGCGGAATGTCTGATGTTCGAGGCCGCCAGGCCCCCATTGTGATGGTGATTGATTTCCACCATGCGAGGTGAGTTCTCTCAAGGAACACAATGGAGATTGCTTTGTATCGTGTTCTGCTTGAAGCGGAGAGCTGTGAGGGGCAGAAGAATGCGACGGGATAATTCCAGAGTGGGCATTGTCTGCACCTTTCTTCCCTATATCTCGCATTTGGTGCTTTGGAAAGCTCTCTTATGGTTGAAGGTATCACCAGCTGACGAATTCCGTCATCGACAAATATTAGGGGCCCGGAAATCGAACTGTGCATCGGAGAGGAGGACATCGATATCGCAGCAAAGAATGACTGGTCTCTTTTACCGTTCATGGCGTTGTCGGATGGGGCGCATGCGTACGAAGCTATCCTTCCCTTCCCCATTGCCCGTCACAAAGTGGAGTCTTGCGATTGACTCGATATCATCGGCGTACCAGATCTACCGAGGAATTTTCATACTTTACCCTACGCAAGAAGGAGACCGAGACGGCGCCGGCAACATCTCTGTTCGGAATCGCCTGTTCACGACAGCTCGACTCGAACCTGCTTATCAACCGTCCTGCGGATGTGACTAGATCCACTGTACAAAAGGCCGTCGTCGTTATTACAGATACCCCTCAGAGCGTGGGACAACTGAGGGAGAAGCTCTCTGTCGTGACTTCGGCTTGGTTCGCGCAGCGGTACGTTAACAATATCCATGTTTGCGTTGAGTGATGGTTTGGGGTGCTGGACACCTCGTTGAAGAACGTCATGGCTGATTGAATGTATGATAATAACAGGGACTTCTCGGACATCGATATCCTGAAGGTTGGCTTGAAAGTCGCATGGCGTCAAAAACCACAAGAATGCTAACGCATGCACTAGAAATTTCGTGAAGGACTCATAATCAGTTGGGAACAGAACGAAGCATCGAAAGATCAGAATCTTGGTAAATACAAACTTGTTCCATGATGCTGACCGGATTGGTAGCTAATTTGCGGAAAGGCCTCTCTCTGCGGGAGATGATACACGAGTTCAAGTACCAGACTCTTGTGTTGTTCAAAGCTCTACTTCTGCAGCCAAAGGTATGCAATGATCATGCTGCTTATTGGCATATCTGACCTGATTCAGATGCTCTTCTTCGGCTCACGATGCGAGCGTTTATGCATGATTCAGTTCTCACTTATCTCACTGATTCCGGGCCTGATCAACAGCCTTCAGGATTGTGCTGATCCGGCTGCTGATAGCTACGCGCAGACTGTGGGGAAGCCAACTTCATTGAAGACGAGTGATAGAGCGTCCTGTATGTGACCATACGCCGCTCTTATGATAAACTAGGCTAATAGACAAAAGTGCTGGCATATATGGGTTTGCCATTGCAGATATTTGGGAAGGTTCGCTGTTACGCAGGACATAAGATCGAGCATCGCTAATACTGCCTTAGGGAAGCATGTTTGGACCTTATACACCACTTCAGCAGCTGGATCTGCTGGCGGATCATGGGACGAAATCGTACGTTGTTGGATCCACCAACTCGCTCCTTTTACAACAGAAAGACCGTTATAGCGATATATTGATTAATGTAAGTGGTCAATTTTCATCACCTTGAAGCTCCTTGCTCTGATACTGACGTATTTCAGCTTGACGAGGACGTTATCACTATTTCATCACCCTCTCTTCGAAGCGCACTGGTCCTATCCGCCGCCGACAGGCGCTGGATTGATCTCCTTACACAGATCATAAATGACACTTGGGATGAAACGCATCCTCAACGACCAAAGGATCACGGATACATGGGTTCGGAAGAATTCATCCGACTCCAATTCGAGGAGTATCTACTTGCATTGCTGGCCTCCATGAAATACCACGAGGAGCTCCACTCTTTCAGTAGCGGTGAATCTGGCCGTAGGAGCAAGGCGCAGTTGGAAGCATACAATATCGAGGGTGATCCGGCGTTGGATTTCAATCCGGATTTCCTGGCACACTGGCAGACTACTTCCAATTATGCCTTATTTAAATACTTGACGTCCGATGCTCTTTTATTCTCAATCGTTGAGCCTCGTCACCCCTGCGCAGGTGGTCTCACGATAGAGGACGTTCAGCGACGGCTGTCGCAACAGGTCGCAGAGCTTCACCTGGACGAGCGGGTGCGTGAGGGCCGCGAGGCTCTGAACAGACATCTCGCAACCGGCCAGAAGAAAGTCAGCGCTGCATTCAACAGTTTTTGGGCAGATATCGAGTCGATGCGGGAAGCACAACGGAAGCGGAATGAGGAGAGAGCTCTCCAGTCGCAACGATCTTCGATGGACCAACCTCGGCCGTCCTCGGATACGGCGTCGGTCGCTTCAGCCACAAGCTCCTGGTTTGGCGGACGCAAGCCCCCCGCTGTGGACATTGCACAGGCGCAAGCATCCGTCAACGCAGTGAGTCAGAAAGCTGGCGCATATCTTAGTTCATGGAGCTCGTGGGCCAGCGAGAAACGCAAAGAATGGCAGGAAAAGAAGACCACCCCATCGTCGCCGTCCTCTATCACCTCTCCTTCCACGCCTACATTGTCTAGTATAACCGAAGGTGATGACTCGGAAAGAGGCCGACGCCGCTCGATGCAGCAGCAACGCCAAAGTGAAGATTCAGCTACCCTCTCCCGCAGCGGGAGTCGACGAAAGAGATGGAGCAATATCCTATTGAGACGGGAAAGCGGGGACTTTGGGTTCCCCAATGCCAAAGAAGACGGCAGCCCGGACAGCAGCGAACATTGTCATCCATACCCAAAGTCGCCCTTGTGTCGAGAGACCTCGGTTGGCGAAGACGACGTTGCGCAGTCAACTCAGCCTAAATTCATTGATCCTTCCACTCAATCCCCAATTGAGAAGGAGCCTGAGACATTCACAATTACTGATGTCGCCGAAAGGCATGAGCCTGCAGACGAAAAGCTAGCAGAAGAATCAGCATCTCATCCGTCAAGTGATAAAGCACCGTCCGCCTCCGCCGAACCCACACCCCTTAGCACATCGGCCTCGAATTCCAACTAGACCTTACCCTTCAGCCCTGCATTCCCTTCTTGAGCATTGACAATACCGAGGCTCGAGGATCGATGTTTATCAAGCATAACGCCTTTGCATCATAACTTTCTCTTGGTCAGAGCGCTTTTTCCCTTTACTTTTCAATTCATACAAAGATGAATATTCCTCATTTCCTTTTCTTTTCACCCTCCTGCGAGCTTGAATACCCAAGAAACGGAGCTGGCATTGATGATAATCTACCCGTTACATATTCCTGCATTGATACCATCTTACCTTCTGGATTTAAGAACTAAGCCACCTGCTTGTATATGCGTTTCTTCTTCACCATTATTTTGTTTGGTTGGCTCGCGGTACTGTACAAAACTTGTGATGATTGAATGGTGAAGCTGTGATGGACCTCATTGCCCAAGGAGGAATTGTACACCATACCTACCAAACCACGGTCATGTAATTTAATACGCCCTTTTTAGGGCATAATCTTTAGCGCCCATTGGAGAACATATTGATTGGAAGGCCAAAGAAGCAACCCGTCTATTTAATCGTGGTCATTTGGGTAATCATTGTCATATCTTCGCTATAGGAAGCAATACATCTCTTGTCCCTGCTAGTGATGAAACCGGAGCCTGTGCCAAAGCGAAACCGGATGATTAAAAGACAAATATCAGCGCTAAGATGAAGTGGGAGCAGAAGCAAAAGGCTGTGGCAAGCAAATGGTATAAATCACGCGATGTAAGCGATCTCATCCCCGTCCAACCGCTCTATATAGTCCTTCTCCATGAGAGCTTCGATATTCTTTTTGATATCCTGCACCTTGGGAGGAAAGCGGGACTTGACCTGCTGAATGACCTCTTGTACGAGCTGTACGTGCTTCATCTTCTTGCGGGACTTCATGATGCGAACGATGGCAGACTGGACAACTCGATTAGTTGCGGACGAGACGGAGGAAATATTGGGAAAACATACCTGGAGGAGCAATTTCCGGTCCTCCTCTATTGTCTTGTGGGTGTCATCTGACTCTACCTTCTGCTCTGATTTGATTTGAATGTTTAGATTGACCTTGATCTTCTTGTTCTTGAAGTTGTAATTCAGGGAGAATGAAGTTCCAGGTTCGGGTTTGGCTCCTTCAGGGCTTGGAAGGAGCACCTTCGCTTTCAGCAGGATTCCCAGATTGGGGTCGAGAATTTCGGGGGCCAGACTGGTAGCCTTCTGGATATCGGAATAGGTCAAGGTGTCATTCTCATTGAACAAGAGGAGGATACCCATTTGGAATGTCGACACTTGGAAAGTGTACGGAACTTTCGTGTTCTTGATGTAATTTGCTTTGACTTCGCCCTTACACAGCTGCCACAGCCAAGTCAGCTTTCGACCATTGTGTTTGTCATAGTAGAAACTCTGGAATCGCTCGTAAGTCTTGACGATTTCCGGTGGTGCAGAAAAGCCGGTTGTAGGTGGATTGAGGGGCCAGAACCCAGTTCCCAGAATCTGAAAGTGAGCATCGACCTGTTTCTTCCGATCGTCTTCGTCAAGAACCTTCTCCTGCCAATCTTTGTAGTTGGAATTGAGATCTTTTGAAATCTGGATGTCCTGGAACATGCGCTGCAACTTGTTGGTGTATTCAAAACCGCAGGCTTCCTTCAGCTTGCTGATCATGCTAGTCTCCGCATCGTCGGATACCGAGCTGACGTGTACCAGCCGCTTAGCCAGCATCTTGGAGTAGAATTTCTGGAAAACGTCCTTGTCCTCGATGTATTTGAACACGGTCATGATCTGTACGAGCATCTCCTCCAACTCAGACTCCTCCGCAGCCTTTGAGCCCTTCTTCAGAAGAGAATCGGTGTATCGGGCCAGCAGCTCCGGCGATTTCGTCGAACTGGATTTGCAGACCTTGTTGCGGTTGACAAACTCGCGGCAGGCGTTATCCAAGGATCTCACAAACTCGGATTCGCCGTTGAAAGCCTCATTGACAAGGTTTTGATACCTGGTGTGCACTTGTAAGAGCGCATCCACATACATCTTGGGTTCGAACGCTTCGCCCTCCGCCGCAACTTTCTCGACCGCAGCCAAGCCCGCTTTTCTGACATGAGTCTCAAACTTCGCCCGCAGAGGGTCCAACCCATCCTTGATTCGCGACAAAAGTCGATACATCCGCGCTAGGTCATCTTGGCGCTCATTGTCTAGCAGAACTTGGAATTCATCCCGCAATAACTCGGAATGTGCAGTGACTAAGACATCAAGGCAAGTGTCCGTGAGACGCTTCATGATATCTGGATGCAGATACAGGCCCACTCGGGCCTTCTCCTCGTCAAGGCGAGCCTCCGCCTTCTTCATGTACTCTACCACGCTGTTCTCAGCCACGAACTGACGGGATTCATTCTCGTAGTAGACTCTGGTCGCAGCAATGAAGGGTTTCTCGAAGTATACTCTGTAAACCTCGAGCGTAGACTTGGTGCTATCGTTCTCGTCCAGACCGAGAGACACAAAAGAATCTACGATGTTCTTGATTTGCGACTGCTCGATGGTTTCGCCGTTTCGTTGCTTTTCGATCAGATTTAACACGGCCTCCATGACCTTCTCATGGACCTTCAGGAAGAAATCGTCTTTCCATTTGACGAGGTGCAAAGTGTACACATCGTAGACATTCTTCTTGCCCTCGTCGATCTCCCTCTTCACCCAGTGGCGGTTAAGGTACCGGAAGAGGTGGTTGACATATTTCGCGGCAGTTGTGTAACGAATCCATTCACGAATGTAAAATCCTAACAAGGCTTCTTCGGTATGGCTTTGGGACTCTCTGTACACGGCCTCAAGGTGGCGTGACAAGTACTCCCCTAGTAGCTTGTATAATTCCTCGCCCAACAAGTGTGCTACAGTAGAAAAATCGTCAGAACAATGTCATCACAAGCCGACATACCATTCGCATAGGGTACGGAAAGACAAACCACCACGATGCGCCTGTAATCCTTGCCCGTTGCTGACTGCCTTTTGTGATGTGCAAAAGTTGTGTACGGCGCTAAATCGCAGGGTTAGTCAACTCGGGTTCAAAGGAGATGAGAACATCGGTTTGAGCATACGTGTACAGGGCCATGTACTACACCAGAACGTCGCGACTGTCAGCATCGTTTCACAGAAACAACCTGCTCTCCGTGACGAGGAGAAACTTGGTCAGAAATTAGGGCAGAGACATACGGTTTTCATATCCACACCCTCCTCCAGCTTCAGCATAACGCTGTCGATACCCTTTTCTAGGAATGTCCATCTACACGGATTAGCCCAGATTCCGAGTCATAGCCATATGAAGTGTATCCGAAAGGCTGTGGAGCTCGAGGTGTCGGTTAGGCGAACTCACGTTTCGTCAAGGTCATCCTTGTGGGGAGTCTGGGGCATTAGAGGAGGCATAATGCTTCCTGGAGCTCAAAGATGGGAGGAGTTCGATCTTGAGATGACGAAGCAGTGAAGGTCAGCAGATGAGACAACGGTCGCCGGTCCCAAAGCGATCAGTTGGCGACTACCGGAAGGGCAAAAGTGAAGTAGAATAGGAAAGTCAAAACGGCAGAAGGAATGCTTACTTCGATCGCCAAACGACACTGTTTGAGCCTCGAGACGTCACAGAAACTTGCAGCGGCAGACGGTGAGAGCGCCGGCGGTAATGCCTTGAAAGACCGTTCAGGAAAGGCGGCGCACGAGGCAAAAGAATGAGGGCAGTAAAAGACAGCTGGGGGACAGGCCGAACGGACCGACAGGCAAGCACTTGATAACACGACCAAGAGCAAGACACTGGGACAGAAAATCAGGTAACACGCGTTTTCACGAAGAGAGGAAGAAAGAGACCAGGCGTGGCGTTGGGCGATGGTGGAGAGTCGCAGGCGTGGGGATGATGGATGCCACCTTAGCGGCAGGCGGTGAGCAAGCTGAGGCGCCTAGAGGCTGGGTGCCTGCTAGGCATTGATCTATCAACTTCAGCTCGAAGACCTAGATTTGACCTGGCGAAAGAGACCTTTTAGGCATCAAGCAAAGAGGATTCTCCAGAATCAAGAGGCTAGTATAAAGATTCAATTACAGAGACATTTTTGCGAACGTTGTTAGCTGCACATATGAGGCGCGAGGCTTTGCCGAACTATTAAGACCTAGTACTTAGTACAACTTCTGGCTCCTGCTTACTGGATAGCTGGACCCTTCTGTAGCTACCTATAGCTATACTATATACATACATCTAAGAATCACATACTGTATGGGCATCAGCGCCATCCAGAAGACTCGAACCGTGGATTGTTTCCTGATAGACAGTTGATAGCATCACGGACTTGTAAGCCGGGATGACGTCATCTGCGGCCTCGATCAACAATTAAAATACCTGCGATGGAGAGCTTATGCCTTCTGCTTTGTTTGTAATACCATAATCACCTACTCTTGCTTTGACTGTAGTCTGCAAAAGGGATTTGTCAACATAACTGTCATCTATAAGCTGGTCTAACCAGGGAGTCTCAAAATATAGTACAATGTCCTTCAAAACTCCATCAGAAATCTGGGTCACCTCGCGCCAAATTCCCAAGTGGGAAAGGATCCCAAACACCTCAATACAATCAAAGCCCCTCATGATATATCACAAGGCATTCAGTGCATCTCCCAACCAGCTCACCGCGCACTTGGAGGAGGTTGGAGAGGTTACTCCCCAATGGGTTTATAGCATGTATAGCCAGACACACTTCCATAGCACGACCCATGAAGTCCTGGGGGTTGTCTCAGGACGTGCACGTCTCTGCTTCGGCGGGGAAGACAATCCGAATCGACTCGAAACGGACGTCGAAAAGGGCGATCTGATCATCGTCCCGGCAGGTGTTGGCCACCGCTTGTTGGATGAGCTCGACACTGAAGAGGAGCGGTTCAAGATGGTGGGTGCATATCCGAAGCAGAAGCAATGGGACATGTGTTATGGACAGTCAGGAGAGGAAGACAAGGTCAAGGGCATCAAAGACTTGGGCTGGTTCCATAAAGACCCTCTATTTGGAGACGATGGCCCTGTGTTGCATGTCTAATGCTAATTGCGTTGCGGGCCAAGGAGAGCTGGTCACATCGTTGGTTGCGTTAGATCGTTAAATTTTCCACCGTATAGCGCCACGTCCCATAAATCATGCCGGCCGCAGTGTACCAACAAGAAGATTAACTTTCCAACGTGATAGAACGAAATAAAAAAAATTACCTTAGAAACCACAAACAAAAGAAACATATCAAGCAAAAGTGAGACAGAAAGGTTGAATTCAGGGAGCAAAAGGGGCTCTGGGCGTAGCAAAGTTTGTTGACAAAAATACTCAAACAGAAAAGCGATTTGAAGCAAGAGGTTCACTGGGCAACCCGCTCAACGAGTCTGTTGCCAATGAAGTCTGTCAGCACTGCGCATTTAGGAGGAGAATGGCGGTGACCTACCTAAGAACACTTATTGCAAAGGTCATAAGCCAAGCCAACAGAGCAACCAGCAGGACACAGGCAAGTGCTATTTGTCTGTCGCATATCGCATCATTCTTCTCGGAAATCTGCTGATTGATCTCTGCCAGCTTACACGACCCACTGACCGTGGATAATGATTCGAATGCTATACTCAGGTTCGCTGAATCAAACACTATAAAAAATATATCCAGGAGAATCAGTCGAGCCTTTGCAGCTGGAGAGCGTAGCCCCAGTGGTTTGGATGTGTATTCGTCCCATGTGATGTAAACCAGATAGACGAGGGCGACTGCATCCACAATAATAGCCATCAAGGCGGAGGGGCCTTGGGGGTGTTCGTACTTGTCTGAGAGATGCTGTATAGATCCTCCAAGGGCAAGGGCAGTAAGAGAGAAGCACCAGACGGTGAGCCGAAAGATCACAGGTACTATAGGGCTCTTCAACAAAGTGCTGTGGAAGCGCTTGAACCAGATCTCTCTGCGTCGCTTCATCTTGAGCGGATCCTCGGTATCTTCACCCGGCTCCAGTTGCCCTCGCCATGGCTGCGAGAAGTCGGTATGGTTCTGATTCAACCATTCAGGTGTTACCAGCTTCTCTTCAAGGCCTGGTTCTAGGGGATAGGCGATTGTCTTTGAGAAAGACTTCCACCGGGATTCGCGACGTGGGCCTAAGCCAATCTCTTCGTCGAAGCTTTGCTCTCTGGTATAGTGTGGTCTAGACGTCGCATAAGGGGAGTGGTTATGTTGGGCAACGAGCGCGTCATCCGGTTGCGGAGGTAGCAGTCTTGCTGTAGCCGACGCCTCGGCTTCATCGTTCGCAGTTTCATAAGATCGAATCCACGCTAGACGTGAGCCAAGTCAGTCAGTCTTTCTCCTTAATCACCTATTGGAATGCCGATGCCTATTTACCAGGTAATGTGCGCAGTTTGTTCCCCAGTTCTAAACTATTGTCACCAATATCTGTGGTGGAGTTTTCTATAGCTTGCGAGGCACCAACCGACGCATCCAATGTGCCATTGCGTCGAGGTTCTTCAGAGCGCTTGTCTTTCTCAAACCCGTTTGTAAGACGGGTTGGCGGTTCTAATGACTGTGGGGATTTCTCTGTGATACCGAAGTCCAAGGCATGCTCAAGTCTCAGAGGCTGCTGTTGGGAATCGCGCACATCCTGTGCCATTGCCCTCCAAAGCAACGATTATTCCCTGTGAGGATGCGTCGGACTCTCGGAGGTTGCGGGAAGACGATGGATCCAGTCTGCATCGCCTCAATTCCCTGTGGTAAAAGGAGGCGCACTACCAAGACCGAGCTATCGGAAATTTGTATTTCTGAAACGAGTGTATTGAAGAGAAAATGGAGGTACGACAAAGAAATCAAATGCTGCAGGGCTGGAGCCCATTACAACAATAGCGAAGAGGTTGGGGACACAGCCCGACAGGCGTTTGATGTTCCGAGGCGATCAGATTTCAGGTTATTATGAGGACATGACGTCTCGTAATAATCCTGCTAGATTAGCTAGTAGCAACAATAATACGGACCACGAGGTATCTACCACCAAGCTCAACAAGGACAAGTCCTCGCTCCAACGATCTTCTTTTGCCACAGACAACAGAAAATATATTCTTGGGGTCAATTACAAAGAGCAGAAAGGCATGCTACTTATACAGACACTCTTTGATCGGTTGACCTATCAAGCCAATCGATAATCGTCCCGAGCCCCCTGACTGCGAACAATTCCTCCCGAGCACTGGTGATTAAACACTGTTGCACAACTAATCTACCATCATTCATCTGGCAATCTCGCCATGCGACTCTTCGTGGTTCCAATCTCGACGCGACGAGCTTTGATCTACTCTCGGCCCCTCAGCAGGGATATCGCCAAGGAGCTCTCGGTACTTGATCGCGTCACGAACAAGGCCGCGGAAACATGGGCTAAATGGGAGGAAGCCGATAAAGGGTGGAAGAAACACCTTGTGACTTGGGGGAATAAGGTCCAGCAGCGCATACCTTTTGAAGAATGGGGCCTGAAAAGCATCCCTTCGCTCAAGGCCCAGAGGAGACTCGATAAATCGTCGGAGACGAAGAAAGTCGACGTCCTCTTCCCCGGAAATGCGATCAAAGCAGATAAGCTTCGCTCAATTCTCCGGAAAATAGCGACAGAGAGACAAGACCTGCATCGCAGGAAAATGTGGTGGAGTTTGATCGCAGCTCCGTTCACAGCTCCAGTTGCGTTGATTCCGGTGTATGCTTTCTGCCTCACAGAGTACGAATGATGATGGCGCTGACTGTTTTCATAGCGTCCCTAATATCCCTTTCTTCTATCTTGCGTACCGAGGCTGGTCGCATTGGCGAGGTCGGTCTCCATCCTTCAGGCAAAGTCATTTCTTCACTGACACTTCGAAGCCTTGAATGGTTCCAAACATCTAGAATACCTCGTTGAGAAAGATTTACTCAAGCCAATCTCGTTTCCAGGGCTGGAGCAACTATACGCGAAACGCGTGGCCCGCGTGCTCGGAAACAATGACTCCGACAAGTCCGCTTCAAGCATGGTTGAAGAAGTGGAGCGGAGCGAAGACAGGTTGTTACTCGATATGGCCGACGCTAAGAAACTGGCTTCCATTCTTGATGCGCCGGAGCTCGCACTTGAAGCGGAACGAGCTATCTTCCAAGTTGGCGAAAGTCTCAAGGCACAACATCAAGCTGCCAAAACCGATCAAGAATCTGCCACGTCGAAAGAGAAGAAGACGTGAGGGCATATGAATGGAAACGAAGAAGCCACAGAAACGTTATGACATGACTGTATAGACTACGGACTTGTACGATCTCCTCTTTTGCTAGTTATAATGCATCGTTGTATTGAGTGACTGTTAATGAGCCTAGTTGACGACAAGTACCTTCGTAAGATTTGTGCCTTTTATGGCTTACCTGGAAACATGATTGATGATCTTCTGCTTGACTAGATGTATAAACTGACTCTAACAGAATAGACTATTTTTGTGTGATTACAGGAAAAGCGGGAGGGTTAACTTCGCTCCTACTAGAGAGGTACAGAGTACAATACAGCTATAGTCTTGGGGTCTCTGGTCATGTCAAAACAGCAGCATATCAGTAATCCCAACTATACTAGCTAGCACATACGACCATAGGGTGTGGAAAACAGGGCTTCCCGTCCGCTCAGCCGTACTTAAGCCACACGCCGGCCGGTTAGTAGTTGGGTGGGTGACCACCAGCGAATCCCGGCTGTTGTATGTTTTTTTCGATATATTTTTTTTCTCTTTCTGATCTTTTTGATCACTCCTCTCCTTCCAGGATCATGGCTTTGGTAAATCACACACCAGTCTCAATCGTGTCGCGAGGGTTGGGTGTGCAAAAGGATCTCGGGGTTCTAGCCCGTCAAGTGTCCTTGCCAACTGCTCAACATTTGACTTCCTTTGAAATGGGGAGTCTTTACTGAGGGCCTTCGCTGACGCCATCACCTATTGGATTAGCATACTAGCCGGTCGAGTGCACTTAATTGTTGATTGATGCGCTTACTCGGAATTAACGCTCCAGTATATAGATTAAACACTTGCTAGAATTTGTCGTCTTTTCCTGCGGCCACCACATCTCGGGCAAGGGAAGTTTGCCCTTCATCAAGCAGCCAGTTGAGCATTGCCTCGTCGTGTAGATGAACATTGACATCGTTAAGGGGCCATGCTTTCGACACTGCGTTCCGAAGCGTAGTCGCTGCGCTAGCGCTCTCTGGACAATGCGGCCAGGGGGTTTGATGGTAACTTCGCTATATACTGGCTTGGCCAGTTTGGATGCAAAGGCCTTTGGACATGTTGGCGAGGCCGCAACGACGCATCACGGTAGTGACTACCGTCAGGGGCAAGTTTCACTTGTTAGTATATTATACAGTTACATGTCATACTCCAATGATAGCGCACCGTAAACGTGCTATGGCGGCACACAGAGCGTGGATGTCAGAGAGGTCTGCACGGGCTGCGCCGAACGTGGTATGGTGCGCCTAAACATTTGTCTAGAAAGTTGTTGATCTATTTCATAGTTAGCAAGCTCCCAAGTTCTTGCAAATGGTATGGGAGTGCCTTGGTGTGATGGCTAGATTCTATGTACTGACTGCCCAATCTCTCCAATGCTGTAAGTTGTTCAGTGTCTTCTGCGCCATCTTCGTCGTCGGTCACTCATCGATGATTGCCTTGGGAGTTCCGGCATTCCAGCATCAGCCTGCCAGCTGAATTCCGCAAGGCAATCATTCGCGTCGGTGATTGCTACCTTCTCAACAAAGTCTGTGGGGTCGAGAAGGCCCTGGGAGCTCACCTTCACGCCGTACGCCTTCTGTAGATCAGTGCCTCCAGGGTCCGTGTTAAGTGTCTTCCCTGATTCACGCCTTTGAATCTGTCACATACGCAAGTACAGGTCGCACGTCGGCGAGAGTACGCCTTGCAAAGAACAGGCTTATAAGCATACTCGTGCCAAAACCACCACAAAGGATGCGATTTTCACTGCGACCTAAGAGGCCATCAAAAAACTCCAGTCCCCAACAGCATCCATAGCCCACCGTTGATGGGCGTCATGCAGTTCCGTCGGCATTGATTTGATTCTGAGTATACCGGTATCCGCGTTGAAGACCTTACTTTACAGAACATAAGGATGGTTAACATCTGGGACACCAGGATCCAAATATGAGGGTTTACCTGATTTGCATGTTCGTGAACTTGCTCCACCGCTTTATTCAGTCTTCGGATGTAAACTGGCACTGCCCTGGTCTTGGATTAGTATAGGCCCTGTGCTAGCATCTTCATAACGCAGCTGGTGCTGATTCCTTCAGTTTGTGTTCAAGGTTCTAGAATCAGGAATGGTAGAATGTAGAAACATTCAGTCACATAAGCTGGTGGATGGTAGGAAAGAACTAAGTTGAAGTTGATGAATTAATAGTATGGAATGAATGAGCTCACCTTGGAGGGAAGATGGCATAGAGAGAATAGAGCAGGCAATACAAATGCAGTATTCACAATAATCTAGATCTGAATTAATAATCAGCATCAAAAACCACGTGTACCTATGGCTACAGTCGCAAGAGATCCCATGCATATTCACTTCTGCTTCTCTATTTGGAAGACAGAACGCAAAATATACTCCCCAGGTGAATTCCTGTATGAAAGCAGGATCAGTAGTATTGAACAGAAACCCACCTCGATCACAGACAGCAAGGCCAGCAATAAATCCTTCTAATATATTCCGTCTATTCTACTTTGAAATGATATAGACGTCCTCTGTACCTCTTTAGTTTCGAACATGGACACAAAAGCACATGGCTGAGATCCGAGGCTAGATAAGATTGATAAGATGGCTAGATTCACGATTAGTGATCATCCTTTGCTCCAAATATCTGATCTTGCATGAACCTGTGCGCTGAAATAAGGGGGAGGTCTTGATATTCCATGTCGTAACAATTGAGGGCAGGGCCTCTAGACTTGGGGCAAGTCCCTTTGAATATATAATTGCATGGCGTCCATGCCCGCCAAGTCACAGTCGCCTCTTTTGCGGCCGAGGCCCGAATTGGTTCCAAATCAAACCAGTGGCTCCTTTATCACGGGGCACGGTGAGAAAATAAATTAATGGCTACTCTCCATGATATTTGAAGCCATGAAATCCTGCAAGTCGTAATCAGACCTGGCATTGCTTTAAATTCCTACGTGGTAAGTTTCGTGGAGCTCTAAGCTGGGAAGACGATTAACATCTCCCTGATACAGCCTGTAAACAGAAACATGGCAGGGCCTTGCCATTCAGTGGAGTTCGAAAAGGCAATCAATGTCACGCCGATCGACTCACACACATACTCGGCTTATCTGGACCCTAAGTGGTGCATCTTGAGCGGCAAGTTCAATCTCCCAAGGCAAATGGATGGTATCTGTTAACATGCCGGACAGTGCCTCATGGAGGTTACACTACAAGCATTTTCTACCGACTAGCCACGGTGTACTTTCGAAAAACGAAGAGTAATCGGTTCAAAACCACACCAGAACCCATCGGAATGCAGTTGTCGTTCCTCCGACGAACAGTCGTGGGGCCCGCGATCTTGAGAGTACAGGATATCAAGATAGGCGCACGGATAAGTACGATCCATGTCACACTGTCTCAGCGACCGGACAGGCCTGGCACAGCAGCGGGTGACAAGGATGACCTCGAAGTGAAGGTCGTCGGATATATCACCGTCAGCCCCCCGGACATGGAGGAGGGCCCGATCTGCAAAGGCACCTGGGGGCTCTCCCCACCTCCGGTATCCGGCTCTCTAGCAAATGGCTCGGTCAATCTAGCAGCGTTGGCAGCAAATGGAACGGATGGCGCGTGGATGCGGTTGCCTCGTCCACCTCCTGTCTTGACCGCACCGCAGCATCTAGAGATCTACGCTCCACGCCCCCAAGGACCGATGACGCTCGAAAGTCGGCAGAAGCAAGTTGTCGACCAGTGGGCGAGGTTCATTCCTGGCGGGAAAACAGTAGCGCGCTGGTCTAACGAAGCGGTTATGTTCTTGGCTGATATGTTTCCCGCGGCACTTGACCGCATGGGTGCAATGGAAACAAGCCGGCTTCTTGCCACGGAGGGGGTTCAGGGGAGCCAGCTTAAAGGAAACGCTGAGGATAAGGGGACATTTTGGTATCCCACTGTGACATTAAACATTGATCTGAAGACCAGGATTCCTCCTGAAGGCGTGGAATGGCTACATTCGCGCGTAGTTACCAGGATGCTTCGTGGTAGCCGCGCGGACTTGGATGTAGTCATTCTCGATCCACAAGGCGAGCTGATAGCTCATAGCACGCAAGTGGCACTTGTGGTGAATGCCTCTCGGAACACAAAAGGAAGGGCTAATTCTGAGAAGTTATAGACTGTCGGAGTACTATTATGAGATAGAGGAATAGATAGGAGCTTCAAAGCGCATATTCAAGAGCAAGTTGTTCAGCAGCGAGGTATAGAAAGGACCTAGAATGTAAGTTGATGTAACCAGCAGGGCACTGAGACAGAAGTTATTCAAATAACTGAGTTGATGAGACAAGGGGCACCTGTTTGGCCGTTTGTTAAAGTCCCAGGTTCAAGACTCCGGTTCAATTGGGGCGTTAAAGTGTATCATGCCAACTATTTGACTTTTTTACCATCGTCTGTGAAAGGGAATATCAGCCAGACAAATTCATCAGGAATCAGATCATGATGCGACCAGACTTCTTTGTAGATGGAGCCTGCTTGATCGATGCATGGTAATAGGCTGATCGTGGATCATCTCTGCATAAATCATGGGCGGTACGTCAATCAATCAAAAACTGGTCTGTGCGCAAACGCGAAAATCCGCGTCCTGCAGCCTAGACAGCGGAACACTCGCGTCAAAAGGGAACAGGCATTGCGTCAGGCATTCCTGCGCAAGTACTGACCTTTTTTTTTTTTTTTTGTCTTTGTCTCTCACATCTTGGATTATTTAATATTGAGGCAAACCGTACCTCTGATAGAGCAAAGGAAGACAAGGTTGTTATCACAAGACTCGTGCTATAACGCCACTTTGATCCCATTTGAGCTTTACAAAGCAATCATTAATCAAAGCAACTCATTTGGATTGACCAGAGAAGAAGGGCATGTCTGGTGCAGCTACTCCAGTGAACTTCCACCGATACATACGAAGATAGCCCTGAGCGGCAAAACTCTACGCAGCGTTCTTTCTCCGTAACGACCAACGCATATGGTCGATCAAGAATTGAATTCTGCCATGGATGAGCTGGAGCAGGGTAGTCCTATGTCTGGGGTTGAAAATGGAAAGGGGGAGCACGTGCAGGATGTTGAGGAGATGGATGCCAAATCGAAGGCTCTGATGCACCTGTTGAATACAAGTGAGGTATGTTTTTCCTTATCTTATGCTTTAAATATCATCTTTGGTTTGCCCTAACTTATGCTATTCTTACTATGGGATGAAGCACTGACTGTTGGGTCACTATCGTAGGTCTTCGTGGCGATCATGGCAGATAAGATGAAGAAGCAGCAGGAAGAGGCTCGGCTTGAAGCGGCAAGGCAGCAGCAACAACAACAAAAGCCAACAGAAGATCAAAAAAAGACAACTTCAGTTGGGAGACGAGAAACGCGCGCGAGAGCGAAGCAGCCTTCCGCAGGTGAGACAACACCTGCTGTGAGCGAGCAACCAGATGAAAAGACAGCCACAAGGTCGAGAAGAGGCAGAGGCAAGAAGGGCACTTCTGCGACGAACGGTAACAGCATTGCAAGTTATTTTAAGAAAGCGGATATGGAAGACCCCGAAGACAAGCCGACGGTGCAGGAAGCCTTGGAACATGCTGCGGACGAGTATGAGGCCAATCCCAGTGCTCTAGGCGGGCAGGGCCTTATTGCCACTCAACAACCGGAGCTTGTTACTGGGGGAAGAATGCGCAAGTACCAGTTGGAAGGACTGGAGTGGCTCAAGTCACTATGGATGAATGGCTTATGTGGAATTCTGGCCGACGAGATGGGTCTTGGGAAAACCGTCCAGGCAATCTCTTTGATTGCTTTCTTCAAGGAGAAGAACGTTTCCGGACCCTTTTTGATTGCGGCTCCGTTGAGCACAGTCAGCAACTGGGTAGATGAGTTCGCGAGATGGACCCCGAGCATCAAGACGGTCTTGTACCATGGCTCCAAAGACGAACGTGCCACGATTCGCAGCAACTTGATGAAGCTGAAAGACCAGAGGAGTGCAGATTTTCCGGTCGTTTGCACATCCTATGAGATCTGTATGAACGATCGAAAGTTCCTTGCACAATACCAATGGCGATATATCATTGTTGTAAGTTCTGCGCAAATATCCACATGAAAGGGGAGTGCATCTCTAACCGAGACCAGGACGAAGGTCATCGCCTGAAGAACATGAACTGCAAGCTCATTAAGGAGCTTCTCTCGTACAACTCTGCAAACCGACTGCTGATCACTGGTACACCACTACAGAACAACATTACCGAGCTGTGGTCACTGTTGCACTTTCTGCTGCCGGAGATTTTCAATGACCTCAATAGTTTCCAAAGCTGGTTTGACTTTTCCTCAATGCTCGATAGCAATGGGCAGACGGATGTCATAGAACGTCGGAAACGCACACTTGTCTCCACCATGCATTCAATCCTGAAGCCCTTCCTTCTGCGGCGGGTTAAGACCGATGTCGAGACTGCCTTACCCAAGAAACGCGAATACATTCTCTATGCCCCTCTCACAGCGGAGCAAAAGGATTTGTACCGTGAGATTCTCAATGGCACGGGCCGTCAATATCTCGAGGATAAAGCCGCTGAACGACTCATGGCCAAGAATGAGAGGCTGTCCCGTTCGGCGAGCCTAAAACGCAGTGCCGACAGTAGTAACTCTTCGACCCCCAACAAGAGCCTCAAATCCAGCAGAGATTCGACTCCAGCCAGTGTGGCTAGTTCAACCCGCAGGCGTAGGGCCCCTCGAAATTACAAAGAGTTGAGTGACCGCGAATTTAATGCGCAACTACGCCGCCTTGAGCAGGGCTTGGAAGACGATTTGGATATACAACAGAGCCCTATCGATACTGAGCAAGAGGAAATCGAAAGAGCAAATACTATCAAGCTGGCTAGTACGTATATGGCTATCTCGAACTACACTGGCTACTGGCTGGTGCTAACGAACCTACGCAGAGAAAGAAATTGCTCAGAAGAAACTGCAGAATCCGGTTATGCAAGCCCGTCTTGCTTGTAACTCTCCGCATAATTTTTACTGGCCGTGGAGCGACGACCCGACCGCCATCGACGAGACCCTTGTCACCGCGTCGGGCAAGATGCTCCTTCTCGACCGCCTCGTGCCTTGTCTCCTGAAGAAGGGGCACAAGATCCTCATATTCTCCCAGTTCAAAACACAGCTCGACATTCTTCAAGATTGGGCCACCCAGCTTCGCGGCTGGAACTGCTGCCGCATTGACGGCGCCATCAGCCAGACAGACCGTCAAGCCCAGATCAAAGCCTTCAACTCGGAGCCGGGCTACAAGATCTTCCTCCTGAGCACCCGAGCAGGAGGCCAGGGCATTAACCTTGTCGCCGCCGACACGGTAATCCTCTACGACTCAGACTGGAACCCCCAGCAAGATCTCCAAGCACAAGACCGCGCGCACAGAATTGGCCAGACAAAACCCGTCATTGTCTACAGACTCGCAACCAAAGGAACCGTCGAACAGACTCTCCTCGAGAAAGCAGACTCGAAACGCCGTCTCGAACGCCTCGTCATCCAAAAGGGCAAGTTCAGAAGCCTCCTGGACTCGAGCTCGGTGAGTCACAGCGACGTAGAAGAGCTCAAGAAGGCTCTTGGCGAAGACGAATTCGAGCGCTTCGAGACGGGTGCTGACCCCACCGCGCTGCTGTCGCAAAAAGATCTGGATATTCTGACCGATCGCAGCGAGGAGGCGTATACGCGTGCCGAGAAAGGCATGGATCAGATTGGGCGTGCGTTCAAGGCTGTCGAGACGAAGAAAGAGGTGAACTCCCTCATGGCTCAAATTACCGGGAAATAGAATTTTCTGGATGGTTGTTTGGGGTTTGGGGTGAATCTGTTCCGTGTCCGCATTTGCGGCGTAATGACAGATGGATACGTTAGGCGTTGGCGTTGGTGAAAACGATGTCATTTAATGTATAATACTTAGAAACCAGGTCCTAATACTTGCTGGAAAGGACTTGGCCCAGCCCTACATCGCGAGGAGAATACAAGAGAATCATCCATTTAGCGCCTATGCTCCTCGCCAAGAGAATGGCTGTACATAAATTAGCCACAAAGAAAAAATAACCCACCGGCAAGCATGCAAAGAGAGGAAGTCAGGTTCTATCTAGCAGTAAGGAGAAATCGACCAGAATGAGGTTATTACCGCCGTGCCTTTTCCTCCTCAATCTGGCTCCTTAAATCAGAAAGGACTTCTTTCCGCTGCGCGAGATGGCTCTTCAACCCCTCAACTTGCTCCCCGACGGTCCTGATGTCCTCCCGTAACCGCTCCAGATCCTGACCCGCCTTCGCTCTCCCCGTGCCTTCTCGCAGCTCCCGGAGCTCACGCTCTTTGTATTCCAGAAGCTGAAGAGCCTCCTTCTTAATGAGGGTCCAGTTAGGGCGCCCGTCGTTCCGGGGCCGATCCCTGCCCCCTTCGGAGGCTTTATTGGCGGCATCAAGCTTGGCCTGCATCTCCGCGAGCTCGCGCCGCAGACGCACCTTCTCCCATTCTTCGTCCTGGATTGTGTCGCTGAAGTCCGTGCCCTTGGGCGTGTAGGAGCCCTTCCCGCCCACGCCTAAGCGACTCAGATACGTGTCGCCGAACTTGGCTTTGCGCCCTGTTGGGGTCTCCGTGTCCCCGTCTGCACCCCACCTTTGTGCGGGGCGGGCGTTGTCAACTTGGTAGTCGATCTTGTTGTTCTCGAAAGAGGCGCGGAGAGAGGCGGGGATGGTGCGCGGGATGCGGAAGCCCTCGTGCCGGTAGTTGAGGATGTGCAGGAAGGCAAGAGTGGCGTCTTTGTTGATTGCGGGGGAGGCAGAGGGGTTGACTAGATTCCATGCGGAGCGAATATCGGTGTCCGGGACGTCGAGGGAATCGTACAAGCCTTGTAGTGATTCAACTGTAACCAGCATTAGCCTTGAGTGGATGATACGGGGTGAATGCGACTAGGCCAGCGAGACGGTGAGGTGTACGTACATGTGATCTCGCCACGGTGGTTACGGTTGGCGGAATAGATCTCTTCGTATTTAGATTTGTCGGAGGGTTTCATGTACCAGTCGAAGCCGTCCTTCAAGCCTGGTGTATCGTCTTCATCTTCTATGCGCTCAAATTGCTCGGGGCGATCGCTCAGCGCACGGCCAGCTTGGACGAGGTGGGCTTTG